GCTGGCTTGTCTCTTGGCTCCTCAGACTGAGGGGAAAGCCGGTTGGTCGTCCCCTCCAGCGCTTGACACTGCCCCTTCACTGAACTTAGAGATCAAAGGTAGTAACGGAGGACGGGCGGGTTACTACCGGGCGGGGAGGGAGTGGAACGCCCCGGCTTTTAAAAGTTTTACGTGTCTGTGTACGACGCGAGTGCGGGTGCCCGAGGAGGTCAAAGTCGGATTTCCGGAGGCTGGAGTGAGTTACTGGCGGTGCTGGGAACCGAACCGAGCTCCTCTGTAATAGTAGCGAGTGCTCTTAACTGTGGAGCTAACTAACGCTCCAGCTCCCCACTCCCACCCCGCCGGGCTTTAAAAAGTTTCTGCATCAGCCGTAAAAAGCATAGTCTCCCGATGTGGGGTTAATAGGCGATGTAGATAAAGTAGGAGAGAAAAATCACGGAATGGGAGGATGTATCAGAAGCAGCTTACCAGGCAATAGAGAACATGCGGAATTGACAACACACGAACTGAGAATTCACACGTAGAGCCCTTTGAGAAGCTAGAAAGAAGTATAGTCTAGGAATGTTACGCAGGGAACAGTACTTTCCTACCTCGAGGAAGGCTTAAATTCATTTTCCCAGGCTTTATGGGAAGTGGGGAGCATGGACACGGAGAGGCAGCTCCTAAAGAACTTTCAAAATTGGTCTCTCTGTGTAACAGCCCTAGCTGTCCTGAACATACTTTGTAGACCAGGCTGGCCTCAAACACAGAGATTCCCCTGCCTCTGCCTCAGCCTCTGTCTCCTGGAATTAAGGCTTGTGCCACCACTGCCCGGCTTTGTTTTGTTTTGTTTTTTTGTATGTCCTAGGAAGCTGGATATGTTTAAAAGTATATTATTGGGCTGGAGAGATGGCTCAGAGGTTAAGAGCACCGACTGCTCTTCCAGAGGTCCTGAGTTCAATTCCCAGCAACCACATGGTGGCTCACAACCATCTGTTATGAGATCTGATGCCCTCTGCTGGTGTGCAGATATACATGGAAGCAGAATGTTGTATACATGATAAATAAATAAAATCTTAAAGAAGTATATTATTGTCTGCTTGTTCAGGTACATATTTCAAACAGTAAAAGGAAGGCAGCTATATGGCACTGTAGACAAGAGTGTTTGCCCTCAAGCACGAGGACCTGAGTTCAATTCCAAGGTTAGATCAAAGAGGCTGCCCCTGCAGACATCAGCCAGGCCTTATATCCCTCAAATGCTAAGCTAGTATGTAGCCCCCACAAATTAGGGTAGGACAGTAGGTTTCCTGAATTATGGCCTTAAGTCCTATTTAGTACCTTCACTACTACAAGACATTCCTCCTACAGAAAGTATTTCACATTCCTGTTTTCCCTGTGGTGAGTAGGCAGAATAGTAAGTCTGTCTCAGGGCATCTCTTTACTGATCCTGGAAAGAATTTTTAATATTTAAAGCAGGACCTTTGTGGTGGGAGAAGAACACCAGCACCTACAAGCTATCTCTGACTTCCACATACACATCGTAAATAAATGTAAAAAAAAAAAATTAAAACAAGAGGGCTCATTAAGATAATAAAAATGGTGGCGCCTGCCTTTAATCCCAGCACTTGGGAGGCAGAGGCAGGCGAGTTCGAGGCCAGCCTGGTCTCCAGAGCGAGTGCCAGGATAGGCTTCAAAGCTACACAGAGAAACCCTGTCTTGAAAAACCAAAAAAAAAAAAAAAAAAAAACCAAGATTATAGAAATGTAAAATATGGTTTCAAATACAGAAGAAAGAAAGAGGGGGTGGGATTAGTGAAGGACAATGAAACATGGAAGCCAGAAGCAGATTATGTTGAAAAGTAAATAGCACAAAGTGAGAGCTGGAGAAATTTTACATTCATTGCAATCACCTATGGAAATACAACATGCTGGGGATGTAGTTCAATTGTTAGAGTGCTTGCCTCGATTGCAGGAAACTCTGGGTTTGTTCCCCAGCTTCACATAGACTGGATGAATTTCCTTTGTGTGGATTTCTTCTAACTGTTGTGTGGCTGTTTTATTATTTCACTTGGACAAATGCTGAACAAAATTGCTGAGTTGTGGGACAGGGACATTTACTCTCTTAAGAAATGCCTGGCTAAGATTTAAAATTGGTTTTGTTTTTTGTTTTTTCCAGACCAGGGGTTTCTTTGTAGCTTTGGAGGCTGTCTTGGAACTTGCTCAGTAACACCAGGCTGACCTTGTACTCACAGAGATCCATCTGCTTCTGCCTCCCCAGTGCTGGATCAAAGGTTTGTGTGCCACCATCGCTTGGCTAGGATTTTTAAATTTAATATGCTAATGGCTCATGTCCATAATCCTATCACTTGGAAGGTGTAGGCAAGGAGGAGCAAGAGATCAAGCTTATTATTGTATAAGTAACAAATTTGACTTTGTTTATTTGAGACAGGTTTTCTCTGTGTAGCCCTGGCTGCCCTGGAACTCTGAAACCTGGGAAAACCTTGAACTTCAGATCCTCTGGTCTCAGTAGATGGGATTACTGTTGTGAGCCTTTGGACTAGGGTAAATGACATGAAATATTTTAAAGTTACAAGGAGGTAAAGGCACTTGCTTTCAAGACTGATCTGAGTTCCAGGGCCTACATGGTTAACTGAAGAACTGACTAACCCAGAGGCACATACCCCCCCACACACATACTCATATACAATATTTAAAGAATTTTTATTAGTTCTCTGAGATTTTATTTATAAAAACATTTGGCCTGCATGTATGTATGTGCACCATGTGCATGTCTAGTGACCACAGAGCCCAGAAGACAGAGTTGGATTCCCCTGGAACTAGAGTTACAGGAGGTTGTGAACCCTCTGATGTGAGCACTGCTATTCAAGTTCAAGTCGTCTTAACATCAGTTAAGCCATTTCTCTAGCCTCTCTATGAGAGTTTCATGGGTTTCTTTTTTTTTTTTTCTTACCTTCTCCCTTTCTACCTACCCAAGTTTGTGTAATTTTTTTTCACCTCCAAGACCAATTTTGTGATGTCAAATGTTCTTGGATATGTGATCTTCTACAGTGAATGGTTAAATAACCTTTACCAGGGGGCGCACTCTTAGAGAAAATTGCCTATCCCTTTCCCAGTAGCTAGCAATTGCCAGTAGTTTTGTGGCCTGGAATGATAATTGTGTGCCCAGCTCCTCTCTTCTTGCTAGGATTTGCACAGGTTTTATACATGCTGTTGCAACTACTGAGAGTTTATGTGTGCAGCTGCCCTGTTGTGTCCAAAGATGTTTTCTTGTAGTCATCCACTGTCTCAGTGTCTTACACTGTTTCCTCCACCTCTTCTGCAATGATCCCTTAGCCTTGAGAGAGGAGGGTGCATTATATGTGATCCCTTTAGGACTGAACATTCTATAGTCTCTTATCTGTACCATAACTAGTTGTGAGTCTCTGTATTAATCACTATTTATTGCAATTAGAAGCTTCTCAGATAAGGGATGAGATGTACATTGATCTGTGAATACAATGTAAGTCATTAGGAGTCAGTTTAATAATACGTCCATTTAGCAGCATAACAGTAATGGGTTTTTCCCATGGCTGGTGACTTTTTAGCCAGAGGCTCTTAGCCTGATAATGATGCCAGGTATGAGTTTCATCCTGTAGACAGGGATTTAGATTCAATCAAAAGGTGGTTGGTTCTTCCCAAGATGTTTGTGCTACTATTAACAGTCATTTTTTTAGCTTGAAGGGTCCACAGCTGAGTATGACTAACAACTTTCCTCTCCAAAAACTTGCATAGCGACTTTCCAGATTATGAAAGCTAGCTGGTCACTAGGGATAAAGCTTCCAGGTTCAAACCAGCTTGGTTTTTGCCATGTTCTATGACTCAAGCATGTGCTGTCTTCAGCAAGGTTCTGACTGCCTGGAGGAGGGTAACCAAGAGCAGTGGCCGTACCCACCAACAACACCAACAGGCAACTCATACCTGGCACTGAACTTTTTGTTAGCCTCTGATGTCTAGTAGGAGCACTGTTGCTCTGTTACAGAGTAACTCCATTTTAGTGTGTGTGTGTGTCTGTGTGTGTGTGTGTGTGTGTGTGTGTGTGGTGGTGATGGATAGATTTAGAAAGAGCTTTATGTCTTTTTCAAAAGGTTTTCAGTATTATTTATCCCTTGCTCTACTCTGTCCTCTGCTCTGCCCTCCACTTCCTCACCCTAGTTTAACCCTTCCTGTTCCATGATTCCTTCATACCAGTGCAGTTTATCTCCTCTCCCTGGAACATGGCACCTTAGTAACTTCCTGACCTTCAAGGTGGAAGCTCTGCCTTCACTCCAGCCTCACTCTCCCCCATTCCAAACCCTGCCCATATGTTCAGCTTTGGAACATAGCCCCCATCCTCCCATTCCAGACGCCACCCCTCAGAAAGCTTGTCAAGGATCAGCTCCTCCGCTGGAGCTGCTCAAGACCACACATACAGGGTGTTTAAGACCTGGTCACCAGACCTGCCATGTGATCTCTCTCCCGTCTTCCAGAGTCACCTGGGAGTTGCATCGCTGTGCTTTGCTCTGTGTATTAAATCTGTTCTTATTCATTGGATTTGTTTTGGCTTATTGCATCATGGGAGGATACACAGTAATCGGGAGTCCAATACTTAACATTTGTGAGTGTTTTAAATGAAACACACATATCTGAAGCTAACATCCACAGATGAGAGAAAAACATGTGACATTTGACATTTTGGTTCTGAGTTACCATACGCAGAATGATTGTTTCTATCTCTCTCCATTTACCTGTGAATTTTATAGTTTCATTTTTCTTAATAGCTAAATACTCTGCTGTGTAAATATGCCATATTTGCATCAGTTCATCAGTTGATGGACATCTAATTTGTTTGTTTTCCTCTCTTGGCTGTTTGTTGTGAATAGAGAAGAAATAAACATCAGTGAGCAGCTATCTCTATAGTAGAATATTGAGTCCTTTGGGTATATACCAGGGGTGGTATAGCTGGATCATATCATATAGTAGGTCTATTTCTAGTTTTTTGAGGAAAGCCCCATACTGATTTCTATGGTGGGTGTACCACTTTACATTCTCACTAGCAGTGAAGAAGTAGTCTGTTTTCCCTGCATCCAAAGCAGCATTTCTTGTCATTTGTGTTTTTGTTGTTTGGAGATAGCTCTCCCTATGTAGCCCTGAGGGCCATGAAACGATGCAGATCAGGCTGTGCTTGAATGTTAAAGGACAGTGCCATGATGCTTGGCTGGCTAGTTGTTTTTTGTTTGTTTGGGGGGTGGGGTTTTTTTTTTCTTTTCTTTGAGACAGAGTTTCTGGCTCCCCTGGGAACTTGCTGTGTAGTTGAGACTGGCCTTGAACTTACAGAGTTCTGCCTGCCTGTGCCTCCTGAGTGCTGGGAATAAAGGTGTTGCTACTGCTACCCAGCTTTTCAAATTTTATTCATTCTGTGTGTGTGTGTGTGTGTGTGTGTGTGTGTGTGTGTGTGTGTGTGTAAGTGTGTACACGTGCCATAGGGCATATGTGCAAGTCAGAGAACACCATGTGGGAGTTGGTTCTTTTCCTTTCCACCATTTGGGTTCCTTGTATTGAACTCAGGTCATGAGTCTTAGCAGCAAGTGCCTTTATCAGGCCTTCTTCAGGTATTTTTTAAAAATCTTTGTGTGGTGTATGTATGATGCATTCCACAGTGTGTGTGGGTCAGAGGACAGTTTTATGGAATCAATTCTCTCCTTCCTTAGATTTCAGAAATGGAACTCAGGAAGTCCCTATATTCATACATGTACCTGCAGAGGCCAGAGGAAGACGCCTGGGTCTTCTGTCACCCTTCACCTAGTTCCTGGGGTGCATGCAAGGAGACCAGGTAGGCTGGGACAGGAGCACAGCCAAGTGGTCCATGTGGTCTCATACTTTTGCCTGGGCTGTGTGTGTGTGACAGGAGGGTTCTAGGAGGCTTTATTCTGTGAGACCTGTAATCAGGGAGGGGTGATCTGGCTGCAGTTTTGGTCAACAGAGAGGGGAGCAGATAGATGCTAGGCAAACTAGAAGTGACCGCACAGCAGTGTGGGTGAACTTGCCTCTCCCAGCTCAATAGCCTCTTAGCAACATTGGGGGAAAGTGAAGGTGGGCAGGAAGGCCAGACACTTTGGGCTGTGTCACAGTTGACAAAGGGTAGGCTCACAGTGTCTGTCTCCATGAGCAGGTCACAGATAGGCTCTTGCCATGTGGAGGGAATACCCGGTGAGACAATGGGAAACAAAATCTAACTGCATTTGATGTGCTTGGGCTTGTCTATGTAGCGCCAAACTCTGTCTCTCTCTCTCTGTGTGTGTGTGTGTGAGGGGGGGAGGAGAGAGGGAGATACATGCCTTTAATCCCAGCACTCACTCAGGAGGCAGAGGCTGGGGGATCTCTTGAGTTTGAGGGCAGTCTGGTGTACAGAGCAAGTGCTAGGACAGCCAAGCTTAGGCAGTGAAGGAAACCATGGAAAACTGGTGAAGATGTAATTTAACTGGGGGGGGGGGGGCAAAGATGGTATAGCCCTGACAAACAGAACTTGGCAGCTTTGGCCACGTGGTTCTGGAGTTAAGGATAGAAGAAAGGGAATTTGCCTCCATGATTAAGGAAAGCAGCTGAGACCAGGCATGTGTCAGGAGTGTCCCTGAATGGAGGCCCAGAGGGGCCATCTCATGAAACTGACATTGAAGCCTGGTTTGTCTGGGATATGCCAAAATATTGGAGATGCCAGAGTAATGGGATAGCTGGCAAAGAAAGCTGCTAACAAGGAAAAGAACCAGCCCAAGAGAGAAATGTATTTCAGTCAATAAAGCTGTCTTATGTCAAAAGAGGGCTTTGACATAAGACAGAGACACAGAGTTTGGAGTTTGTCCAGATGGTTTTAGGTCTTGCTTTGGTCTGGTATTCCCTAGGTTTTGGAATAGTAATATATATCCTGTATCATTATATGCTGGAAGTATGTGATCTGCTTTTTGATTTTGATTTTACAGGGAGATTACAGTTGAGAGATTGCCATGGATCTCAGAAGAGACTTTGAAACAAGTCTAAGACTGTTGTAGACTATGGGGACTTTTGAAGGTGGACTGAATGTGTTTTTGCATTATGATACGGCCACAAGCCTTTGGGGACCAGGGAGTACAATATGGTGATTTGAAAGAAAGTGGCCCCTAAATTGAGTGGCATTATTAGGAGGTATGGCCTTGTTGGAAGAAGTGTGTCACTGTGTGGGTGAGGTTTGAAGTCTCTATGCTTAAGCTACACCTAGTGAGACAGACTACTTCCTGTTGCAAGTCAAGATGTAGAATTCTCAGCTCCTTTTCCAGCACCATGTCTGCCTGCATGCCACCATGTTGCACCATGACAAAATGGACTAAACCTCTGCAAATATAAGCCATCTCATTAAAGTTGCCATAATCATGGTATCTCCTCACAGCAATAGAAACCTTAACTAAGCATACTTACTTATCCTTTCTGTTCCTCTCAAGATGATTGTAAACAACCACTACTTTTCAGGGGCATGATCGTTGTCTTGAAGGATTTTCAGGATTTTGTTAATCACAAGATGGACTTATGCAGCATCCTGTGAGTCCCTCAGTATCATACCCATCTGAGGGAGTCAGGACAGTTAAGTTTGTTCCTTCAGTCAGCAGACTTGAGCCAGGTAGGGCAGAGACAACTGGGTCAGGCCCCACCCCTTGGATCTACACATGTATACATGCAAAAATAAAAATGTATTTGTGGGGTATGTGTGCCATAGCAGCTATGAGGTGGTTAGCTCGGGCATTGGTTTTTCTCTTCCAACATGTCGGTTCCAGAACTCAAACTCAGGTGGCAAGTGCTTTTACCAACTGAGCTACCTGCCTCATCCCTCACCCTCCTGGGCCAGGCTCCAAACTCTTGAACTTTTGCTTTCTCCTCTCTCCGTGTGTGTGTGTGTGTGTGTGTGTGTGTGTGTGTGTGTGTGTGTGTGTGTGTGATTTGTGATTTGTGATTTGTGATTTGTGAACTGTACACCTTGGGTGCTGGGAACTGAAATTTTTTAGGTCCTCTAGAAGAGCAGTGTGTGTGTGTGTGTGTGTGTGTGTGTGTGTGTGTGTGTGTGTGTGTGTGTGTGTGTGTGTGATTTGTGAACTGTACTCCTTGGGTGCTGGGAACTGAAATTTTTTAGGTCCTCTAGAAGAGCACAAGGTTCTCTGAATAACTGAGCCATCTCTCTACCCCAAGCCTTTTATATTTTTGAGGTTATAATTACATTGTTTTCCCTACCCTTTCCTCCTACCAAACCCTCCCATACAACTCTCCTTGCTTGCTTTCAAATTCAGTCTCTTTTTATTAATTCTGAATCTTTTTTTAAAGATTTATTTATTATGTATACAGTGTTCTGCCTGCAAACCAGAAAAGCGCAACAGATCTCACTATAGATGGTTGTGAGCCACCATGTGGTTGTTGGGAATTGAACTCAGGACCTCGGGAAAAGCAGCCAGGGCTCTTAACCTCTGAGCCATCTCTCCAGCCCCTGAATCTTTTTTTTTTTTAAAGGCAGAGTTTCATAACTCTAACTAGATACATGCCATTTATGGAATTCTGGGGATTGAACCTAGGACTTTTTTTCTATGCAACAAGCAAAAGAAAACAAAAGTGTAATGGCAAATACAGGTGGTTTTCAGGGTGGTGAGGCGCAGCAGAGTGGGTAGTCTAAGAGCCTGGGGTAGACCTCCTGGTAAGGACCCCCACCACCTTGCACATAGTGGTACAGGTGGAAGGATGACTACCAAGAACGAGCTTGCCAGGGAAAGACGGGGTCAGTTTCTGAGGAAGACTGAGCAAAGAACAGGCTACCTACAGACCCATGTTCCCAGCTATGAGACCCTGGAAAGTACCTGTTTCCTCCTCCTTTCATTACTCTTAATTCCCCAGCTCTCAGGCAGTTTTAACACAATGATGTGAGCACCTAAGATGCACCAGGTGCATTGTGGGTACTTGGTAGACAGCACTTTCTTCTTCGCTCAGGGCAGTGCAACAGAAAATCATTAGCAGGAGTAGGATTTGATCAAACAGGTACCTAAGGAAGGGGTAATGAGGCCCAGGAACCAGGGCACCAACCAATACATACCAAGGTGCATTATTCAGGAAGTATGCCACAGGTGCAATGAGGACCAGGCCAAGGGACCATGAAAACCTGCCAGGGAATAGAGGCCATGGGTTTGGTCAGCTGATCATGTGCTGACATAGGAACAGACCTTTCCAATCTAGTAAAGACACAACAAACAGCCAGCAGGTTTTGAAGTTATTTTTAGTTAAAGAAAAAACAGGCTTTCCAAGGGTGACAAAGTGAACTCAAGGTCTGAAGGAAGCTGGGTGTGGGCTTATCATAAGCTCTTACTCCAAAGCCTGGGCTTATCATAAGCTCTTACTCCAAAGCCTGGAAATAAGAACTGAGCTTTCCTAGGAACTGACTGGATCACCAGAGACACTCCTTGTTGGGGTGGACAGAGATACCCTTGATCAATGGCATAGTCTACATGGGCTCTTAGGCAACCACCATGTGCCCACTGACATGATTAACACTATTACTCTTGGGGGACCTTAAATTAAGGAATGACACAGGAAGCTGAGATAGTGGCTTATTCGGTTGGATTCTGAATCACAATCAGGAAATAGTCTTTATCTGAAAAAGGAAAAAACAGAAAAACAAATCACTAAACATAAACCACGAGAAACATAAACCACAAGAAAGACAACAGCATACAAGGCAGGAGGAAAAAGACTTTCAGAAGAGCATCAGTAGCAGGTTATTTTCCACAGCTGGGAACAGGAGTTAACCTACAAGTTTATTTATTGCCTCCTGCCAAGTGGCTGCTAGAAAATGAGTCTCCACATGCAGGACCAGCTGTAAAGTTGGACACTTTACAGCATGCTCTTTCATTTGTATTATGAAGATATAAGCAAGATAGCCTGATAACCTGAGGATTGAATCCCAGGACACACATGATAGCAACAACCAACTCCTAAGGGTTGTACTCTAACTTCTGCACTTGAGTGTGGGTGCACACACATACATTAGTATAAATGAGATTTCAACGTGATTGCTGGGCGCCTTAGTTCAGTGGGTAGTGATCCATTTGTAGTTTGCATATCAGATATTTACAATTCATAACAGTAGCAAAATTAGGGTTATGAAGTAGCAATGAAATAATTTCATGGTTGGCGTCACCTCAACATGAGGAACTGTATTAAAAGGTTCGTAGCATTAGGAAGGCTGAAAACCACTGCCTTACTTCATCCTGATAACCCTGGCCTGTGGCTGATTTCTACCTTCTACAACATGTGCTCCCAGCCCCTGAAAAACAGAACATTTTGATAGGTCACAGGAAGTTATTTGCTTGTTTTTGTTTGTTTGTTTGTTTGTTTGAGACAAGGTTTCTCTGTGGCTTTGGAGGCTGTCCTGGAACTAGCTCTTGGAGACCAAGCTGGTCTCGAACTCACAGAGATCCGCCTGTGCCTGCCTCCCAAGTGCTGGGATTAAAGGCGTGCACCACCAACGCTCGGCCAGTTATTTGCTTCTTTAAAGCATTTTCCAGTGATACAATCCCATAGAGATGACAGGCTTCATTTAGCAAAAAAAAAAAAAAAAAAACAGGGCAAAGTGCTGTCTGTCAAGGCAAAACTCAGATTTTGATCATGTTTTCCATCAGTTTATTTTGTGGTACTAAAGGACTAAGCCATGGTCTTGTTAAATGCTAGGCAAGTGCACTGAGATATACCCTCAATCCCAAATTCATTTATGGACTTTAGACAAAGGTTCAATGAACCTTTGCTGAGTTTAACATAGGTGCCTCAGATCTGATGAGGGTGAAGCAGTATGCAGCATGGTTTGAACCTATGGGCTCAGGCCATGAAAGCTCTGATTTTTGTTTGGTTTGGTTTTTTGAGACAGGGTTTCTCTGTATTGTTTTGGAGCCTGTTCTGAAACTCGCTCTGTAGACCAGGCTGGCATCGAACTCAAAGATCTGCCTGCCTCTGTCTCTTGAGTGCTGAGAATAAAGGCGTGCACAACCAATGCCCAGCCTCTGATTTTTTTTTTTTTAAGATTTATTTATTTTATGTATATGAATGCTCTATCGGCATGGACAACTCCATGCCAGAAGAAGGCATCAGATTCCACTATATATGGTTGTATCCTACCATGTGGTTGCTGGGAATTGAATTCAGGACCTTTGGAAGAGCAGCCAGTATTCTTAACTGCTGAGGTACCTCTCCAGGCCAGAAGCCCTGATCTTGATGACAAAGACTGCAGGTTTTACAGGTATACAGAAGTTGCCATTAATTTCTGGGCATCTGACTGTGTCTGTATGCCAGTATTTAGCTTTGTCATGAATAAGTTTTCTCAGGTGACACCTAAATTAACCCCAGAAACACTCTACGTGGGTGCCAAGTGGTCTACCATTTTACTAATAAACCCATGACAACTGGCTGTCTCAAATAAGAAGAAACTGCATACATAATTAACAAGCTTAACAGCAAAAACAACCAACAAAACTAGGCTATCAAGTTCTAAATATTACAATACCACACTAAGTACCCTGTGGGAGGCAGTGTTTTACATTTTAAACTTTAGTGTGTGTGCGAGCACATGTTGTAATGTGTAGGTAGAAGTCAGAAGAGTGGTTCTTGCAGGAACTTTCAAAAGCGGTTGATCTTATACCATGTGGATGCCAGGACTCAAGCTCAGGTGGTCAGGATTGGTGGCAAGAGCCTTTACTGGCTCAGCCATCTGGACAGCCAGGGACATAGTAGTAAAGGTTTTTCACACTGCATCAAATAGTGAGGTTAATAAGTCCAACTATGTCAAATATCTAAGATATGGCCTGGGAAGCTGTAAGAAGTCCATTTATGTGAACCTTTTCCTTCCTTCTCTCCAGTCTGCTCATACTGCATGGTGAAACCACAAGCCTCCCCTCCAAGACTCAGTGAGGCCTGATCCACACTGGGGCTGCCCTGAAGCAATCCTCAGACATTTTGCTCTACTGCCTCTGAGGTTCCTGCTCACTGAGTTCTGGCTCCAAACCCAGAATTTCTGTATTGACCACATAAAACTGGGTACACTAAGTAGTATGTACTGCTGATTTCATTCCAGGGCTGGTTCCAGCTTAGCAACTGGTTAAGAGTACTTAATGCTCTTGTAGAGGACCTACACTTAGTTCCTAGCATCCACATGGCAGCTCATAATGTTGCTCCAGTTCTGGTGCCCTCTGACCTCCACCATTGCTGCATGCACACACATATATTTAAATGCCACATCCCAGACATCCTTAACTCTACCCTCTACTGAATCCAGCCTAATGCCCAACAGGGGGATATCTGCAAAGGGAGGAAATTAAAGCCATACTGGGGTCAGGCATGGGGGCATATGCCTTTGATCCCAGTACTTGGGAGGCAGAGGCAGGTGGACATCTGAATTCTTGGCAAACTTGGTCTACACTAGTAGACCAAGGAAACTCACTAGTTCCAGAACAGCCAGGGCTATGTCGAGAAACCTTATCTCAAAACAACAACAAAAGCCACCTGTTTAATGTATTTGTTAAACACTGCTTACAAGTTCCTGCCTTCATACAACTTACTGTGGGAAATAGAAAGCAGTGGAAATGTAGCTAAGTAGCTGGTTAGTCAGGCAATAAGGAATGACAGCATGCTCTAGCAGGAGGATGTGTGTGACAAGGCCCCAGGAAGGGAGATGCAGCAGTGTGGTAGCTCCATAAACACCACTGTTTATGGCTAACATGTCACACACAACCTTTAGCATAACTTGAGTGTGAGTGTGTGAGACGTACCGACTACCAGCCAGATCAAGGCCAGCATGTGCACTTCCTGCACCTCTCTGTATGCTGCCCAGGTGAGAGTCTGGCCATTCATCTCCACTGATGAGACTGTTGGAACCACTGAGCCCATGAAGCCCAATGAGAACTCAAGTACCAACTACCCTTGGGGGCGCTGAATGTCTGTGGGTCCCCAAGGACAAACTGGAGGTACTACTGAACTGAGCTAAGACTTGCATGATCAGGACTTCAGACATCTCTGGAGCTTTAGGTGGAGAGACACTGTGTACCAAGTGTTTGTCTCCATGGCACTGTATCATTTGTCCCTGATACTGAGTTTCTAGGTGTGCCACTGGGTATACCTCATATCTGCACTGATAACTACTAAATGGAAAGATGATTCCCAATATCAGTTTTAGGGACATGGAGCAGTAAGCTGGGGTGGGGGTGGACTTTCTATTCAAATTTGATTGCAAGGCTTAATGATAACCTGATCTTAACATACTTACTCTTCCTGATGTGTCCCAGGGGGTCACAACAGCTCCTCATTTTTTTTTTTTTTTTTTTTTCCCCTTTTCCCTTTTTGGTTTTTCCAGACAGGGTTTCTCTGTGTAGCCCTGGCTGTCCTGAAGCTCACTCTGTAGATCAGGTTGGCCTCCAACTCAGAGATTTGCCTGCCTCTGCCTCCCAAGTGCTAGAATTAAAGGTATGAGCCGCCACCACCCTGCACCCCAACTCATGATCATCACTTCCTGCCCTAGCACCTCTGCTCACAGGATCAGATCCACATAGCTGAGTTTGGAGTCTGAGGCCCCTTCTAAGTTGGACCCAAGTCTCACTTTTCATACCTTCCTTCACAGACAAGCTGTTCTACAACCTGAGGCACCACCATGTGAGATCTCATGCATGTCCCAGCCATGGCTTGGCTGAAAAGACAGAGAGAGTGGTAACCACAGAAAAATAGTTTTGTAGAACCCGTCAGTCACTCTAGTCTGTGAGTTTGAGTTAGATAAGGCAGAGCAGGAGGCAACCCCATGCCTTCCCTCTGCAGTTCCCATCCTTGTGGGCTCCTCCAAGTGTGAAACATCTCATTACACTGACAATGATCCTAAGGCCTAAACACAGGCATGCTTGTACTACCCAGACAAGTTTTTCACTGATGAGCCAAAATAGCAATCTGCTCCAATGCTGGTGGGGAGTTGACTGCATGGGTTGGAGACAGGACTATAAATTCTTTTTCATATAGAAACAGCTTTCCCACCTCTCTGACTCATATTTCCCTGGCCCTTAAGATTCAGCTCTAACATCCTGCTTCTGAGAAATCTTTGTTGACTGCCCAGGCAGACCTGATCAACCCTTCCACATCCCAAATTCATTCATTCATTCATTCATTCATTCATTCATTCTTCCTTCCTTCCTTCCTTCCTTCCTTCCTTCCTTCCTTCCTTCCTTTCTTTCTTTTCTGGTTTTTTGAGACAGGGTTTCTCTGTATTGCTATGGAACCTATCCTGGCACCTGCTCTGTAGACCAGGCTGGCCTCGAACTCACAGAGATCCGGCTGCCTCTGCCTCCCAAGTGGCTGCGTCACCAACGCCAGGCCATATCCCATATTCTTAAGGAATTCTTACCAAGATGAGAATGATTCAGTATTGATGTTTGTGTCTTTCTCCCTCATGAAACTACAATTTCCATGTGAGGCCTGCTGAAGATCAGGTGGTGGATACCACCTAGATACTGGCTAGGCAGTGAGGCAACTTGACTCTTTCCACCCCACTCTGGGCCTACCTTGAAGCTGTGGGGATAACAATATGCCACACTTTCCAGATAAGCCACAGGGAACCTGCTATGGGTTCTGAAACTAAACATGGAGGTGCAAGAACCCTTACCTGGTGCAACCATAATTTCATTTTTCTTGGAGCGAATTCGAAGGAAGGTTAGGTCATTTTGGGGGTCAATTTCACGCACAGTGCTCCGTGCCTTCAAGATGAAGTTGTGCATGAGGTTGGCATACTGTGTAGTAGTGGGGTTGTCCATGGTGCTCTTGATGGGAATGCCTGTGGGAAGAATAAATGGAAACCAAGCAATATACGGGAGTTCCTTTCTGTTTAGTGTCTCATCTCACATCCCTAATTCTAGAATGCTGGGCTGGCAGTTACCAACCAATGCTACTGTTTACTGAAGGCTTGTTATAGGACAGGCACAGTGCTGACCTTGTAAGCCGGAGCCTCTGTGGGTAGGATCACCATCTTCATTGGCTACCAGGCAACAGGAGAACTGAATAATGGGGTGACCTGCCTATAAGTACACAAAGGATAAGGATTTAAATGTAGACTTGATTCAACTCCATGCTCCTTTCCTAGGAGCATGGAACCCACTCTGCCTGACTGGGTTCAAGCAATAGAAGGAGAGGTACTCTTCTGCAACACTTAAAGCTTGAACTCAGTCATCACTGGGGAAGCAAAGGCAGGCAGATCCCTAGGTTAAAGGCCAGCTAGGGCTACACAGTGAGACCCTGTCTCAAAAAGAAGAGACTGAAAAGGAGGAAGAAAAAGAGGTCAGCTTATACCAGATATACGAGACATTTATTATTATTTTTAGCAGGGCTGACTCAGGGCTCAGCTGTAACCATGTATAAATGAAGATGCCTCCCCACTCCAGTGGGTTTTTATATAAGAGCACTGCTGTCTTTGAAAGAGCCCACTAAGTGGTTGGAGGTATAGTCCAGAGTACTTTGTGTGTCTGAGACCCGGGTCCAATACCCAGCACCACACAACAAAACATAGAAAGAGTCCATGAAGTAAGACAGTCCCTAGATTCAACATTCCCCTATTGATAGATGCTCAGGCTAGGATTTTACTGGTATAATTAACCAGCCAATGACCATCATTCTGTATCAAGTCTCTTTTTGAAGACTGAACAATTAAATGGACATTACTGGGTGTCCTACTGTTATGGAGGTGAGGAATGTGGCTCAACCTGATGACCACATTGGGTCATCAGGTTCCTGGAATTGGCTGTGACCTGTCAGAAGGCTCCATCCAAGGTAAGTCTGGAGGTGACTATGACACTTAAGAATGTGGTATAAGTGACTCTTCACATCCAAGAAGCAAGACATGGGCCCAGGAATCTGTGAATCTGGCCAATAAGTGACCAGCCTAAAGATAAGTCAAAGATAGGTATTCAACCTACTTTATTAGGGCACCAGAAACATGTAAAGCAGCCGAGCAGAAGAGGCTTTTGTGAGCCATGTGAAGCTATAAGAACGGGTTACAGTAGTCATTTGCCTTTAAGGTGCTGATGTGGGCCCTAAGTGCTGTGCTGCTATTGGGTCCTAGATGGCAACAATGTGCACACCTGAGCCCCATGAGGCCTCTTTATAGCTGTACCTTTCTGAGGGTGGCTATGTGCCTGCTACCTACTATAACTGGTACCTACTATAATCTATCCAAAATCGAATGATCCTAGAGGGAGGACCCTCAAGTCTGATGACATCCCAGTACCATGCAGTTTTCCTTTAGAGTAGTTATAATCCCAACACCACACTATTAGGAAAGTAGACATTTTACCCACGTCCCACTAGGCAATAAGTTCTCTCGAGGCAGGACCCGCTCTCATTAGCATCTGTGGTTAACATGTTAAGCATCTGCTGATGTTGGTATTTGAGTTGTTTCTGGGGTTTACTTTTAGTGGTTCAGATAACAATGAGTTTGGTTATATATAAAGTAGGCAAATGTAAAGGAGCCAGCAAACTTAACCAATAGTGGCTCACTCTGAGGCAGAGAGAAAGAGAGGAGAGGAGAGGAGAGAGAGACAGAGGGAGGGTGGGCAAGAAACAAAAATCAGAAGAATTTCAAACAAGGACAAAATTAAGTCTATACTCCTCACGGATGCCTAGTTCAGTCCTTTTCCTTCAAAAATACTGTGCAGCTTTAGTTACCGGGGAAGCACAATTCTAGGTATGGTACAGTCAGGTGCTCTCAGAGCAACAACAACAACAAAAAACCTGCCCAAGACCTTTAATAGGGCTTCTGGGTATTTACCTAGTATGTACAAGGCAATGAGTTTGAGCCACAGCACTGAAAAAGGAAAATCTTAATAGATACTGCTATGAAGCACACATTCTGTACTAACCTAGTTGTGTTGGGAGCAAAAGAGAGCAGGTACTCTGTTGTTGACCATGCAGAACTTGAACAATCCTACTAGGTACATCACTTAATTGGCCTGGCCCAAACTGCTCCCCACTTGTTTTTTTGGAGCCCAAGGTGTCATTTAGGCTGTCCTTAAATTCACCATGCAATTGAGGATGACTCTCTTGGGCTACTATCTCCCAAAGGCTGGGATTGCAGGCTTGTGCTATCATGCCAGGTACCTACTTGATCTCTATCTCAACTTTCTTGTTGGTAAAATGGGTTATGGTTTAAAAAAAAAAAAAATTGCCTACCACCACTCACCCCCACCTCTTTGAACCAGGGTCTCATTATATAACCTTGACTGACCTAGAATTCACGATGTGGACCAGAATAGCTTGGAATTTGCCATGATCCTCCTCTTGAATACAGACATTGCAGATATACTGTCACAACCTCCTGTAACTACAGTTCTAGGGGATCTAACATTCTCTTTTGGCCTCATGCACTGCACACACATAGTACATACTTATATGCAGGCAAAACATTCAGAAAACAAAAATAAATCTTAGAAAAGGTCTTGGCTTTGAAATGAGAAGCAGTCATTAAATTTCTAAATTCAAGTTTTGTCAATAGAGCCAATAGGCTGCTTGAAGGAATAAAGCACCTGTCCTCTGATTTGGTACAATGTGGGTGTTTCCTAGTTCCCTTCACACACTATCCGTATCTTACTAGCCATTCAAGTAAGCTCATTCCCTCAAAGAGCTCTGGGCACAAAGAAATCAACCAGAGAATTACCTACAAAAACAGCAGAATTATCACAGATGGATGCACAACACCCAACTAGTGAGCACCAAGAGTAGCACCAACAGATTAATCAGCACCGTACTTAATTGGGCATGGTGACTCAAGTTTGTAACCCGAGCAGACAGACTCGGGTACAAGGAATGCCTTAAAGTCTAGCCATCCTGGGCTACACAATGAGTTCAGGCTAGTCCAAACTACAAAGAAAAGATACTGTCTCAAAAAATTGTACTGACACTTTAAATTTTTGCTTGAAGGGGCTGAAGGAGCATTTCAGTGGTAAAGTACTTGCTTAATGGGTATGAAGCCTGGGGTCAATTCTTAGTGCAAAAAAAAAAAGTTTTTGAAGAAATTGCAAAACAAAACCTCAAGGTAAACATGTTTAAAAGAGTAACAACAATCAGGTGTGATGGAAAACACTTGATTTTTTTTGCTACTTTTTCTGAGACAGTTGTTCCGGAACTATGTAGCCTAGGCTGGCCTCCAATACAGTGATCCAACTACTATCCTGGCTCTGACTGTGCACACTTTAAACCCAGCCCTCAGGAAGCAAAGGGATCTCTGTGAATTGAGGACAGTGAGACTTTATTTCAAAAACAAAAGTAACTGATTATCACATGAGAAATAGATTTTTCACAAGGGCTGAAAACAGCATGGATTATATTGACAGCTGTGACCTGTCAGTGAAATGAAACCGAGAAAAAAAATTTTCCTATTTACTAAATTAAGTTTTGTTTTGTTTTTCTTTTTCTTTTTTGGTTTGGTTTTTCGAGACAGGGTTTCTCTCTGTAACTTTGGAGTCTTTCCTGGAACTCGCTTTGTAGACCATGCTGGCCTCGAACTCATAGAGATCTTTCCTCTGCCTCCTAAGTGCTGGGATGAAAGGCGTGCGCCGCCGCCACCACCTGGCTGAAATTAAGATTTCTAAAACAAGTGGTGCATGCCCATAACTCTAGCACGTGAGAGGTGAAGCAGAAGGATCCTGAGTGCCAGGACAACTCAGGTTACACAGCAAGACCTCTCGAAAAGAGGAGGAAAAATCCCAAGAATAGTATCAGAACTTTGGAAATGTTCAAAACAAAACTAGAATGAATCTGGGTTTATGAAGGTACTAGGAAGGGCAACGACATGTGTGTGGCTGTTTTCTGGAGGCCCTCCTGAGTGCAGGCCGTGGATTGAGGACCTACCTTCTGTGTTCACCACGATGATTCCTTGCACTCCTTTCTGGCTCTGAAGTCTCTTGAGTGTTTCCTCCACCTCTGCCTGCCAGAAAAAGGAGACCAAGATTAGGTCTTCAGAGCCCAGCAGATGAATGAGAGTAACACCCAGACATTTGGCACTTCCCCAAAGCTGTCCGGGCCAAGCCCAGGTAGAGTGCTCCTTAGGCCCCCACTGGCCTAGAAAGAGCTTCAGCCCCAGCCATGAGGAGCACTGCTTCTGGCTCTTTACCACCAGGCAGTTATCCCCTCCCTGCCCATCGGCTATCTGAGAACAGACTATAAACACTATTTCTGGAGTACAGACACCCATGACTCACACATATGGTACAGTACTTTGATTTGAAAAACAACCAAAAAAAAAACAAAAAACAAAAACAAAAAACCCTAAACAGCAAAGAGGCATTTTGTTTCTGTGAATCAAATGTCACAAATGAAAATATTTCAAAGGAGCAAAATAACTCCACAATAAACCTGGTGACTTAATCTGTCATCTTAGACAGAGTAACATTTGACATATAGGCACAGGAAATGTGCCTTAGGAAGGGGCTTACTAATTCTGATTATCCAGAAACTGCTCAAGGTGGGATGTCCTAGCACATGGAACTTGTTTAGACTCTTCTAACTTGCCACTTCAAGACTTTACCTTCCATCTATACTCCATCTGCAGTCACATCTATTGTCTATATTTTTAGTTTTTGAGACAGGGTCTCTACATAGCCCTCGCTTTCCTGGAACTCACTATGTAGATCAGGCTAGCCTCAAACTAAGGGATTGCCTTCCTCTGCCTCCTGAGTGCTGGTATTAAAGGTGTGCACCACCACACCTGGCTCTCCCCAGTCCCCCAAAAATTTACAAGGCTTCTTCTCTGAAACCCAATAGCCTTCCAGACCAACTAAGACATCACCTCTTCTATGAAGCCTATAATCAATGATCGTGCCTCCAACCCTTCAAGCCCTTGACTGTGCTTTTGTGAGACATGTGTCAGGTACTGTCTCTAATTACTCAGTCTCCACAGTGGTCAGCACAGTAGGGGCCCATAAACAGAAGCCTAATGGTCCCTCCTCACCCCATGGCTGGGAACCTGGTCTTGAAGTATGCGTTCTCTCAGGGTACCCCCTCCAGAGGTTCAAAATCTAGTCAAGCTCCTCAAAGGCAGAGTGTTTGAGCCTGGCATGTGTATCTCTGAGAGTTCAAGGGTAGCCTGATCTACATGTCTCAAAACAAAACAAAACAAAAACAACAAAACATCCAAAGCAGATGGTCTTTAGAAACAGGGGTACCATTTGCAGAAAAAATGGTTCCCTATTTCCTAGGACAAAGGGGCTAGGGCTGGGGGCTCCTGAACAACTAAAGATAGCACAATGGATTGTTTTTCTGGGAAGACAGGCTGACAATCCAGTCACCACCACCCACTTCCTGTAACAATAGTGCCAGATGCTGCAGGGATGGGCAGAGGCTCCTCCTACAAAGTGGCAAGCAGCCTGATGCCTCTAAGATCTAGAACCTGTGTAAAGGGCAGGGCTGGCTCTGTGGAGGACAGTACAATCAGTGTGGCATACATGTCTGATATCCTGGTCATTTCAGACTTACTGACCTCCTAGTACGTGCTAGGTGCTGTTCTGGGTGTTAAGGGGAAACACTATAGGTAGGTCCTAGTCACCCAACTGGGAATCCATCCTATGGAAACAACCCCAAAGAGCAAAAGAATGCTACAAGATGCCAGCTGCAATGACATCTACAAAAGCAAACAGAGGAGAAATGCCCAGTAATCAGGAAAGGGCCACGGGAAACACCAAACATCCACTGCAAGTGTGCTTCTCATTAGCTAAGAGACTAGGCCATGGAACCACCTCAAAAGTCTGGGATTGACATTCCACAAAAACTAAGACACCAAAAGTATTTTCCATGTGGCTACAACTTCCTAGAAACAAGAAATCTTGAGATGAAAACAAAGCCATACAGAACATGGAATTATAGACTGTATTTTTTTCAAAACAGTCATTTTTGCTGGCCATTGTTGGTTCCACCTATAAACCCCAGCATTTGGAAGCCAGAGGCAGGAAAAAGAAAATATCTAGTCAGCCAATTGTGCTATAGGTCTGTAATCCCAGCACTTGGGAAGTAAAAGCTCAGCAGTTAAGAGCACTTACTACTCTTGCAGAGAGAGGACCTAGGTTCAGTTCCCAGTACCCAAATGGCAGCTCACAACTATCTGTAATTCAAGTTCCGTATTCATCATACTTTTCTGGCATCCTTGGGCACCAGGCACACGTGTGATGCTCATACACATAAACAGGGAAACACAAATGTTCGCTCCATTCCCTGAGAGCTCACTACTATGGGGGCTGTGGAGCTTGACACATTCAGTATCATTTGTTTTTCAAACAGGTTTTTTTGTTTTTTTGTTTTTGTACAGCCCTGGCTGTCCTGGAACTCCTCTGTAGACCAGGCTGACCTTGAACTCACAGAGATTCACCTGCCTCTGCCTTCCCACAGCACCATACTCAACCTCTTAAAATGGCTCAGAGGTTGAGAGCACTGGCTGCTCTTCCAGAGGTCCTCAATTCAATTCCCAGCAACTACATGGTGGGATCTGGTGCCCTCTTCTGGCCTGCAGTCATACACGCAGACAGAACACTGCATAATAATAAAGAATAGATAACATGTTTATGTGGTGACTTGAATTAAAATGGCCCCGTAGGCTCCTATGTGTGAATATTTGGAGTATTTGGAGGTATAATGTTATGAGGTTTCAAGAGACTCAGGCCATTCCCAGTCTCTCTGCCTCCAATTTGCAGATGAAGATGCAAGTTCACAGTAGTTCCTGCTGCCATGCCTTTGCACAGCCATCACGGACTCTAACCCTCTGAAACCACAAGCCCAAATCAAACACTGTCTTCTATAAGTTCTGTAGTTAGCTGAATCTTTGGTTTCCAAGTTGGTGTGAACTTGAAGGTGTGTCACTGCAGATAGGCTTTGAGACTTCAAAAGCCCATGCCAGGCCCTCTGTCTGTCTGTCTGGCTTGGCTTGCTCACTGCCTGTGGATCAGGATGTAAAGCTCCCAGCTACTGCTTCAGTGCCATGCCTGTCTGCTTCCTCCCATGATGGTAGAAATAGACTAACCCACTGAAGCAGCAAGCAAGCCCCCAGTTAATGCTTGCTTTTATGAGTTCCCACGGTCATGGTGTTTCTTCACACACTAGAAAAATAACTAAGAGTCTGTTACTGGTTTGTGTGTGTGTTTTGTTTTGAGGCAAGACTTTCACTTTATGGCCCAGGCAGGCCTCCAACTTGTGGCTTTCCTTCTGCCCTGGACTCTTGATATTTTCTTATTTTTTGGTCTGTGGAGACCCGGCCTAATTATGTAGCCTGTTTTTAATCTTTGATTCATTTGTTTGAGAATATATGCATCTGTGTGCACAGGTGCATGCAGAGGGCCAAAGATGGCATCAGGACCTTGAGCTGTCTGAAGTTAAAGGTATCTGTGAACTGCCCAACATAAGTGTTCAAAGATTAGTTCTCATGGTTGAGTAGCAAATACTTTTAACTACTGAGCCCATCTCTATCACCCCTGATTAAACTGATTTAGCTTATGATTATGTGAAATAAATATACTCTATACAGAGGTGAAGAGGAGGCAAGGTTATGTGTTCTCTAGTTAGATGTATGTGCACCAATAAAGGTCAGGATTTGTGGGGTCTGGTGCCACCACACCCGGTATCTCAGTATCTTAGCATTTAGGAAAACTGATGAGGTTCAGGCCAGTCTGAGCTACACAAGTGCATTAAAGGCCTGCCTGAGCTACGACGTAAGGTGGCTGTCTCAAAATAAAGGTAGATGACAGAACATAGCCCAGCAGGCATGTGACCTTGAGTTTTATCTTTAGTATAGCAAAGTTTAACAGGAAAATAACTTTAAAAATATTACATAAAATGATTAAGGAAAATAATGTGTCCAATGAGAGGTAGAAAACAAATCTAAGATAAATTACAAACACCTATATACAAAGACCATTATTCCTTGTAAATGAATGAAAAGTTTCAGCAATGCAGCACTTTTTTAATGTTGGTCTCATTAAGTCAAAGCTCTTGAGGTGAATAACCTCCCAGGGAAGCAACACAATACACTGTAAAAACTCTTAAGGGCTGGGTCCTTTTGCCTCCATTTTGAAAATTATCATTATAAGGAAATAATCTAAACAAGCAAAAATTATAGACCATAGCATTATGACTTTGACTTAAGAACTGGAAACAACTTAGCTTGTACCCCAGGGAAATGGTTTGCCAAATTTTAGTACACCCATGTTTGGGCATGGTGGTGCACATATTTAATCCCAGAACTCAGCACTGTTTTCCCCCTTTCCTGTTCTTTTTTCACTGGTGTATCTTTCAAGATGTTCATATTTGGTTTTTATTTAATGTCCAAAGCATAATGTCATTATATCATCTTTATGATAAATTACTTTTACTTACTACATAATAGTTAAAAAAGCCGGCCGTTGGCTTTTAAAATGCCTTTAATCCCAGCACTTGGGAGGCAGAGGCAGGCCTGGTCTCCAGAGCGAGTGCCAGGATAAGCTCCAACGCTACACAGAGAAACCCTGTCTCAAAAAACCAAAAAAAGTTTTAAAGTGTGTTTTTTCTCTATTACATAGTGGAGAAAAAAATGAACACAAAGTATGGATGATTTTATGTAATTGTACTAACAAGGAGTTCCCACCAATATACACTATCCTGTGGAAACACTGGCAGCAGTGTTGAAACAAGGGCAGTTTACTTTAGCACTGGAGAAGAGACTGTAAACTAAATGAATACATGGGCATAGGACACTACTATGCAGCCTTAAAATGAAGTAGGTTTAGAAAAAGTGTGTGTGTGTGTGTTTGGAATGAGTGTGAGTGTATGATCCTAGGGTTCAAATCCACAGCCCCTTGTAATGATAGGGTTTTTTGTTGTTGTTGTTGTTGTTGTTTGTGTTTTTGTTTTTTTGAGACAGAGTTTTTCTGTGTAACAGCCCTAGATGTCTAGAAACTGGCTTTATAG